TTGATTTGAAGATTTAAAATCAAATAATCAAATCAAATTCAAATCAAAATTTTTAAATCAAATCAAATTAAAATTCAGATTTTTAAATTAAATCAAATTTAAATATATCTAATATTTGATTTGATTTAATTTTGAGAAATCTTGTTTACTATTATATTGGCTAATTTGTAATATTGGCAATAACTTTTAATTTACTGATCTGTTGTTAATGATTTTACTACCATCTTAATGAAATAATTTTAACAAATTTATTAAAATCTGATTACAAACCACCAAAATCATTAAACTTTTGTATGATTTTACTAATAATTTTTAAATTATAATATAAAATATCTTTGGTATTGACTAATTTTTGATTTACTGATCTATTTTAGATAATTTTATTATCAAAATAATCATCTTATTAAGATAATTTTAACAAGTATAAAATCATCAAAATCTAATTACAGAATTACAAGATTGTTCAGAATCAATATATATGTAAACAGTTAATTAAAAAATAGATAATATATATAAATTTATATATACTAATTAATTGTCTATATATATACTGATTCTAAATAATTTTGTATTTCTGTAATTAGATTTTAATAATTTTGTATTTGTTATAATTATCTTAATAAGACAATTATTTTGATAATAAAATTATCTAAAACAGACTAGTAGATCAAAAGTTATTCAATACCAAAAATATTTTATATGGTAATTTAAAAATTACTAGTAAAATTATATAAAAATTTAATAATCTTGGAGTTTTGTGATCAGATTTTAACAATTTTAAACTTGTTAAAATTAGGGGCGTGCCATTTATCATATGATTTTTACTATAGATACATAGGTCAAGTGGGTGATCACATACATATATATATATATAATATAGTATATAATCAAATATAATGAAATATATATATGTATAGCCTGTATTTAAAACAGTAATGCGTAGTCTTCAGTACTAGTGTTACTGGAGATTACACATTACTGTTTTCAGATATTAAAATGATTGACATTAAAAATTTCCTAATTTACGGGTTAGTTAAAGCGAAGCGAGGTATAGAGTTACCTTTTTGATGCATTTAAGGTTAGCGGGTTATATAGATATCAAGAATACAACATATGCAGTATGTAGATCATATATTGAATTCGCTTCGCTTTAACCGACCCCCTAATTTAGTAACCCTATAATTCTTCTCTTAGATGGTGAAATTTGATCAACTGCGGCTTATCACACCAACCAATTAAATTTCATTCTGGCATTGCATCAACCAATAGAAACTTTAGAAAACACATGACAATGACAAAAATTCACTATTAATTAGATGGTGATTTTTAAAAATCACCAAACTGTTCGACAACCACACCAAACGTATCCAAAAAAGGAAATAAAAAATCATTCTCAAAAAAACATTTTACACGGATTAATTTTCGTGCTTCTAAGCATGTTTTACGTTTCTAAGTAAACTTGAAGAGACACTTTTGTTCTGTTAGGCTGTAAATTTTCAGAACGATTAGATCGATATTCATCGAGATATAACGATTTCTTTTTTCGTTTCGTTTCTTTCTTTGTAGATCCTTATTGTACAGATTCGCGACGATCGTATTTAGCTCATACTTAAAAATTTTATTAGTGAAATATACAAAGTTGTTCTAACAAACTATAAGTTTTTTTGTTAGACGAACAACTTTTATTATTGACTCAAAGTCGATTCACATAATAAAATTTATCGTAAAACACGATTTTTAGTTTGACGGTTTTTTCTAACTTTTTGTATAAAACGTTTTTATTAAATTTGACACTAAACATATTGTACGATGATAGTAAATTTAGTTTGGCAGCCTTTTACAAGAACCATTTTTATTGACCTACAATTTTTTTTTTTTTCACAACTTAAAAACATCCCACAGGTAAAAAAACAACGTTTTCTAGTATTACCTGTGGAATACAGAAGCTATTGATTTGATTGGCTACTTTTTTGATTATGTCACAGAAAAAAATATAAAATTTCTTATTTTGCTTCGGCGAAGCATTTACTATTAAATTATTATAAAAAAAATGCTTCGGCTGAAAGCATGATTTGATTGGTTGAAAAAAGTGACTCAGCTGTAATCTGATTGGTTTATTCCAAAAAAAAATCATATGAATTTTGCTTCGGCTAATTTGATTGGTTAATAATTTTGCTTCAGCTAATTTATTGGTTAATAATTTTGCTTCGGCTCATTGAGCGCTTTGATTGGTTAATAATTTTGCTTCGGCTCATTGAGCGCTTTGATTGGTTAATAATTTTGCTTCGGCTAAAAAAAGAAATTAAAAATAGATTCTATAATCTTGTTATCTTATTGGTTATCTATTTTGTTTTATCAAAACATAATTTCAAAATGCCAAGAATTTTTTTAGAGCCAAAATGAAATTATCATATTTGTTTATATTAAAATAGAAGATTCTTAAATGCCAAGAATTTTAGTACCAGATAATTTGAATTTGTCATTCGAAATACTGATTAGTGTTTTAAAACCGGTTATTCATTTTTTTTTTTTAATAAATTGTATCATTTTTTTTTTTTCTTGCTTATATATTTTATCAAATTTCATAATAAAAAAAATAAACTAAATGTCTCAACTTTATCGTACAAATTCAGGACAAATTCCTAATAACCAACAAGAAATTTTTGATACTTTATCTGAAGATGTAAGTACAAAGTAGTATTTCACTGAAGATATATCAATTATTTGATATATGAATAAGTGACTGTCAACGATAATATTTTTAATGTTTAGTCAGTAATGAGTATGAAATTATTCACTTAGGTTCGTTTAAATCCAACTTTTTTTTTTATTTATTCATTCAGGAAGAAATTCATTTCGAAGTTTTTGGAAACTTTAATTCAAAACAAAAAAGAGAATTCAAAGAGGAAATTGATTCTATTGATTACAGAAGACGTGAAATGAAGGTCTTCCAAACTACAAAGA